AAAAAAAAAAAAAAAAAAAACAAATTATATATATCTATACACACATAAATATACAATAGCATTTAGAAAAAATAAAGTGTTATATATATATATATTATACATACATACATACATAGTGTATTACAGCATCTTCTGGGTCCTGCAACCACTATGCATTCTATGATTGGACGAGGGGCAGTGATGCCACAGAGTTATAACCCTACCTAATGCTAGCCAAAACTCAAAAAAAATAAAAATAAAAAGTTTTGGCTTCCACTCTACTTTAAAAGAGAACTTTCTTCCCTATAGTTCTCTGCAGGGTCACGGGAGGACATATACTAACATCCTCACGTGGCCCGAAACTCAGTATATAGCAAGCTATTGCCCGCTATACTGTATACGGAGTTCGCCGCAACCAGGACAGATTCCGACAAAACTGTCGAGATCCACCCCGTCGGCAGATTGACAGCAGGCTTTGCCTATCTAGAGGCAGAGCTAGCTGTGCCCGCCCCCTCTCCCGTCCATTCCTCTAGTCAGCGCTGGAGGATCGGAGAGAGGATCCTTTCGGGGAGAGGTGATTGACAGTCCCCGCTCTCTGCAGGGAGATGATCGGGAAGTCAGCGATTGGCAGTATTTCTTTGCTGAGCTCCCAATCAATAGAGCCGACCTGTGACAGCTTCATTGTCACAGGTCGGCTTGAGATATGGGGATGAGTGTTTCTCACTCACCCCATAATTCCCCTATAACTCTTTGTGGAACAGCATTTAAATCTAGTTTACAACTGATAACGAGATCAGCTTGAATTGCATTGCAGAGAGAAATGTAGTAAAGAGAACAACTTTTCTTCCAGAACTCAGAATGTTTTTTGCAAGCTATGCTGTGTGAATGAGAAAAAAGTAACAAATATGAAAAAAATACCTTTTTCTCCTTCGGTTTTGCTTCAGTTGTTTCTTTTTTGTCTTCTAGGTTTCTCTTCTTTGCCACTTCCTTCTGTCTTTCAAGTTTCCGGGCCTTCTTCAAATCTTCTCTCTTGAAGAATGTAGGAGCCAGGTTAGGTACAGTTACTCAGCAAGTAAATATTTTATACTGATCTATAGAAAAGACAGCACAAACAGATGTCCAAGTAAAAGGAACTGCGTTCAGACGTTACCATTTGTTTCCTGAGCTCTGCTTCACGCAAAATGTCTTCCTTGAAAGGGGCATCATTGGGAATGCTGATATCTTTCTTGTGCTTTCTTTGGCCAGTTTTCTTTGTTTCTTTTTTTACTTTCCGGTTGTGTTCTCTGACCTATCAATACAGATATTTAGTAATTAAAAAAAGCTGTTTGTAGTAGGGTGCTTTTATCCACTTGATAAGTTTTGCAATAAAAATTGTTGAAACAGTTTTTAGGGCCAGCATTATTTTTGATGCCCATGGCAACCAGAACCACTCTCCATTCATTCTGATACATTGTAAAGGGAGAATCAAATACCAACCCAACTATTCACAATGAGTGCAACAGTTCGTCCCATAGATAATCACACAAAAAGGCCAACAGTACCTTAAAGAAAACTTGGTAAAGACAAAATTGCAAGCTACAACAGGTCTACAGGTTTTAGCCCTTTTGTTGTCACCACCATACATACGCCGTAGCATATGGTGGCAGCAGCAGGGCCCTGTAAGCAGACTCCCAGCTGTGAGTCTGCTTACATGTGTGATACTGACTGTCAGATCACTTCCATGGGCTGCCAAATGTGTGCCCCTTCTCCCATTCATCCCACGCTCTGCTGCTGGACCAGTATGGCGGGTCTCAGCTGAATAAACCCAGAAGGGATGATGATGATGATTTTACTATTTCTATGCTGTCTTTCCTAAGCTGCTGTGGCTGGGGAAGAAGCTGATCAGCCTCAGTGATGTGCAGGTGTGACATGAGAGATCTAACAGACCTCTAAAGTCTCCTTAACCTCTTGCCGTCCGCACGTAGTAAAAAAACGGACGGACGGCACTGCTACATCTGCGGGTTGCCGTCTCCAGACGGCAATTTTTTTCTGCTCGCGCGCGCCCCCTAGCGGGCACGCACGGGCAGAAAAGACCCGACCGTTGCACACACCCGTTACCGGGTGTTTCACATATAGGCGATCAGCGGGTCCATAGCCCGCCGATCGCCTATATGTGCTCGTTCGCGGCACAGTCCCCCCCGCTGCGCTTCCGTTTCCCGACCCCTCACCTTGATTCCCGGGATCCGCTGCCCCATCTTGGATCCCGGGACCGGCTCCGAGGGCGTCAGGAGGAGAAGGACGGGAGATCAGCTCCTTGCTGATCTCCATCCGGGCTGTGAATGCAGAAGTGATGTGTATTACATCACTTCCGCATTCACCTGTCAGTCATCTGGCTGCTATTGCCAGAGAGAAGAAGCTGATAAAGCAGATCTCTGCTTCATCAGCTTCTTTTGGGGTCAACAGGTGATATTAGGGGTCCTAGAGACCCCTAATATCTCCATAAAGAGGACCTGTCAGTGTGCCTTTGCTATTATATAGGGGG